GTATCACTTGGTATCACCAGGGGACCGGAGCGGGGGGGAGGGGCGAGTGAGTAGGTACAGGGTTACAACCGGAAACCGGTTCTGGCGCTGATAGTGGACAGCCAGAGTATGCCTCCTCTCCTTCCTACACAGCAGACAAAGTCACCTTCATGATCCGTCTGGTACTGGAGGTGGTCTGGACAACTCACTTGTTTCTACACCTTCCAGTCCAAGTAGTCTTCCAGGACCACAAGTTACAGCGAGTTGTTGAAACATTCTGATAAAGAGCGTCACCTATCAGGGGTCTGATAGGTCAACAGATTCTACTGCATGTATGTAACGACTAAACTGACACAATTGTGAACTAATTTGAAACCGAACTAAGAAAGAGCAGTGAAATGGAGCCACACTTAACAGATTTTCACATGACGCCTACAAAATCAAATCACAATCATTGAGATAGTGAAATTGATAGCAATGCGTAGATTAGATATGATGTCTAGAACTGTCGTAATCAAATGACACAAGACATGGTGAATGAATCGGTAACAGTACCGTGTACCAAAAAATCCCTCAAAAAAACTGTGTGTGCAGTTGATGCAGTTGCAGGACTACCCCTAGGCCTCCAGGACCCAAATTAAACCCCTACGCGACCAAGGCGCGTCTCGCCAAGCTGCGGCCGGCGCCTCAGCGGCCGGCTCCCTGCTGACGGGCAGGGCAGGCCACGGGCAGGACGCGGTGCTGGTCCTCCACATCTCGGTGTACGGCCGTCTTAGAAGCACGCAGGCAATCACAGTTCCTTACCGAGATTGAACGGGTCGCTGGTGCACCAGCCCGGGACGAAGTCGCACAAGTCGTCGTCCAGGTCATCATCTACGGGGGCGTCACGGTTATGGAAAACCATTCTGTCGCATCGAGCTCGCGCCGAGGTGCTGCAGCTCACGGTCGCAATGTCTCCGAACCGGCCGAGCAAAATGTCGCCACGGAAAACACGTCACTTTTTCGACACTTTTCTCACAATTACAGTTATTTCCTTCAAGACATTAATGAATCGCTCACGACGTTCACCATCCATCCACACACAAACTCGTCTGCAGCCTTCTAGAAAATTTTCAGCCATGTAAACAAACAAAAAACAAAGAATGTGGCCGTTTGGGTTCAGCCGGGAGCACCAACATTGACACGAAAAAGAAGAAACGCTGGGCGACAGTGTGAACTCGGTAAGAGAATTTAGTTTCTGTAAACGGCAAATTATTTTATATTTGTAAGTAAACTTACTGTTTGATTATTCTTCAACAGTCTGGAATCCATTCTTTTTCTAAATCGTCAACAGGGTCTTTTCGTTTTAGTGCAGCATTTGGGCGGCAACATGTATGAAAGATCTGTCAAATCAAATGTTTTGATGTTTTTGTAGTGGTTAGGAGAAGGTTTCAAACAATTTAACAGAATTTTTCTATTTTATTCTGTTTTGCGTTGTTTCGATGCTCCCCAAACCAGCAGATGTGGTTCAGTCCCTCCGCCAGCACTTGGAGGCATCTAGTTATGGGTTAGGACAGGTGAACGACAATGAGTTAGAAACCTGGTTGTTTCAGCCGGGTTCGGACAGAGTGCATTTGCTCCAGTGGTGTTTGGGGCAGCTGGATCCAAATTTAAGGGAGCGATTTCAGAACTGTGATGGGGATGTAGCAGAAAAAAGTGAGTTTCTAGATTGCTTAATGGTCTCAGTAGAGGTATCTTTGCGGTCACAGTCATATGCATTTCTTTTGTCTCATTCAGGAACAATCGAGTATGCCAAAAACTTTGGACTGAGTCTGAAAACGGATGTTATTTTAGTAAGCTTACGACATTTTCTTTAATTTTTTTTATTGTATTGTAAGTATTATTGTTATCTGTTCAATTAACTATTTGTCTTATGATTGTTTATAGGGCTCTGCAGACCAGAAGGAGCAGATAGCGATGTGGGTGATGATTCTCAGTGTTTTACAGGTCAATAGGCACCAAAAACAGTCCCAACCTAATGGCGGCAAGTCAAAAGGGGCCATTAGACAAACTATAATGTCTTTAATTCGGCAAAGGGATCTTACCGTACGTTTTTCAATTTTATCCCAGTTTTACCGATTGCCTTGGATGGAATTTGTGCTAAAACAAAACTCCTCCTTATTTTATCATTTTTCTTAGGACCTTCTACACACCAAAACAAACTTGTTTCCACCTGATCTACGTATTGTTGCACCTGTCATACACAAAACAACTGTTGAAGAAGAATTAAGAGCTGCAATTTTAGAATTAGAGGAGCTACAGGAAGAAGTCAATAATTCTCTTTCAGACAATGAAGATAATTCAAATGTAAGTGTAGCACTCTATGCTACTACTTTGTATCTGACAGTATCTCCAGAGGGAAAAATATTAAGTTAACACTTGGCTCATAAGATTTTTTTGTCAAATATCTGGTTTTAGGCCGACAGATCTGTGCATTCTAGTAGTGACTACAGAGAAAAGTTTTTAGAAAGTATCAAGAAGATTCAGGAATGCTACAGGCATATTGAAACCACAGTTTTTCCTGCTGTGAGG